GACACAAAAGCCGAAACCTGACGCCCTTTGTACCATTTGGCTTCACTTTGTAGATGATCTTGAAAGACGATTCTGGTGGAGCTACGTGGCCTGAGTTCACCAAATGCTCGAGAATTGAGCTAGTAATTGTCTTACATTGTCCCTTTGCTAACCATGCCGGATAATGTTCAGAGATGCGTTTGGAAAGCGTGCGCTTTGTGCGGCCAATATAACTTTATTCTTACGATTTCCCATTTACCTCCTGACTAAGTTATCGAAGGAATTATTAACTTTAAAAGTCTCTCAGATATGTCTTACTTCCTGCCTTAGATTTTCTTTGGTACTATTTAAATTTTTTTAGCTTATTACTTGAACATTTCAATGAATATGTTTTTACTACCATAGAGCAGGATGAACCGAAATCTAAATATCCGTTTAATAGTGTGGGTTTTCTGTAAAGCTTCCCTTCATGACTTTTCAATTAGTGAGTGAACTGAATCATCTTCAACTTTGAGTTGATTTGTTCGAGAAATCTTTTCATATCTTGTATCTTTAGTACTATGAATGTATCTTCTGTATACCTCCGCCATACCTTCAGAGTGAAGCCAAACGTTTCAGTAGCTAAGTTTACCCACTTATCGATAAAAATACTTGCCATTACTGGGGATTCTGGTGATTCCATGACAACTCCCTCAGTTTGTACATTTTCCTGGGATTACAAATACTCCAGAAATTGGAAATGACTTCACTCTAGGCATGCTATCTTCTAGCGGTGTTTTGGTTTCAAGTCCAAGTTCTCTGTGAGAAATAATAACTTGATAATCCAAATAAATCATTCAGGAGAATATGAGTATCAAAACGGAATAAGTTTGTGCAAATTTATGATAATAAAATTTAATACTTCCTCCCTTCTCTCAGGCAGCAAAGCAGTATTGCATGGAGGATTTCATCATGAGTTGACATCAGTTAGAGAACCATTGGAAAACCTCGGAGTACTGGACAGCTGTTTCGTCCTAGTTTGGGATTCTTCAGTAGTACGCACCCACCGAGGTTCGAACCCATGGCCTTCTGGTTACAAGGCGAGCTCGTAGACCATTGAGTGTGTGCGTGCTGATGAAGAGTCTTAAACCAGGATGAAACAGCTGTCCAGTACTCTCTGCAGGTTTTCCAGTGGTTCTCTAACTGATGTCACCTCATGATGAAATCCTCCATTCAATCAAACAATATCCCAACAAAACCAATACTTGAAAAAGAAAGCAGTATGTTGAAGAAACAAAGGAATGGGTAAAATAGCTGTGCTTTGCAGCCTCAGATTTTATCATTGTTTAAAACATTTCGTCTTAGAAGCTTTACCAATTCGTCTATTGAAAACAATTTTCGCTTGAGAAACACTGGAAGAAGATATGCCTAGCCTCAACTGAAAGAATAATCATGTGCTTTAACGCCTAGTTTACTATCATACTAGATTGTTTCTTGACTATCGAATGCAATTTTTAGCGATATTTATTTCCAGTTCATTAAAGACAGAATCTCATTTAGAAAAGAGTCTTTTCAAAAGGAAAAAGTTCTAATCACGTAGTGTAGTTAATCGTGCAGAGAATATTCAAATTTTTAGGAAAAAAAATATTTTATTCAATTGAAAATGAAATTTATTTAAAGAATTTTGGTTTTATTTTGTCTTTTTGCAAAAAAACAAGCCATTTTAATTATTTTATGATATTTAGGTATAATCCCGTTAACAGTGGAATACGATCTTTCATAAGGATATTACACTTTCAACATTTTCTCAGTGCACAGACGGAAAACATTTCTATTACACGTTGTTATAAAACTGTTACATAGTCATATCTAGAAGAAGATTTATACTTCATGGACGATTTATGTTGGATGGATGATCCTTAGGCGAAAACAAACAGGTTGTCAGGTGAGGCAGAGAATATAGAACTTCAGGTGAACGTAGAGTAGACAGAGGTGGTGAAGGTGCCTAACAACAACAAGCACCAGTCGCTATCAACAGGAGTTTGAAGGAAGTCATCTGTTTCATTTATCCAACAGCATCGTTCCAACTACAGGCGACTTTGCAGACGAGGATCTCAAGGGCAGGAAATGAAAAGCAAGACAGATTTTCATTAGTCTGAAATTTGTTTGGAAATCTGTTACACTCAGCATAAGAAACAAGATCTAAATTTTCGACACTGATGTCAAGTCAGTCAATGCTTCCATGTAGTTCAGAGAATCAGTGCGCTACGAAAAGAATTTCCGACAGACTGTAGACATCTGCCTGCACTCCATCCTGAAGTTCAGATATGTAGAAACGATAAGCGATAATGAACTCTAGGAACGACTGAAATAAGAAACTTTCGCTTAGCAAATAAACTGAGATGGGTCGGAGACGTGCTGAGAATAACGCAGAGAGACATCCTCTTGACTGGGTACTCACTAGTCACGACTTTCTATTAGAACTCAGGTAACAACCTACCTGTATAGGGTCAATCACCAGGGAGTATCAGACTGGTACTAAAGCTACAGTAGGTTGGATGTGAGGACAAAACTCTCCGATGACAATTGCTTTTGGTCAAGCCATATCGTGAATTGGCAGAAGTTGGAATTCATGGGCTAGCCACTGGATCGGGTCCCAATGGCTTAATGGTCTGCAGGCTCGCCTTGCAGTCTGAAGGTCCCGGTTTCGAGGACCAGCAGGTATATATATATATTTATATATACGGAATGTAATATAAGACTGAGAAGCTAAGTGAAACGACACTAGTACACACATTTACCTATGATGTTGCATCTCAGGAGGAATGGCAATCAAAATAAATATGAAGTACAGTTCGTTTTCTTGCTGAATTCGTACAAAGACAGTCAGTGGGTGAGACTCCACAATATGGTGTCTCTAAACGGTTTTGAAAGTGCTTGTAAGAATCAACTGAGTCAGCCTCACTGCCTGATACACTCATATAATTAGAAAAAACCTATTTTGACATCCACAGGTTTGTATATGGTCTGCTCGAATCTCTGGGCCATCTAAAATCCCATCCAAGACAGTGCATCTTATTTTCTTTAGTTCTTGTTATGATCATTCAGTTACTTCCGTGGGTCTCAAAATGTACTAGTGCACGTTTTTAATTGGTTTGCAGCCCATCAATGAGTATTTCTGTAGGATCAAAGAAAAAATGCCGTGGTGCATTATTTTATTCTTCAGATTTAACATCACTGCGTCACATGATCTAGTGGAGATGGCTGTTTTACTTGAAACTCTTGGATGAAGAGTATATATTATGCAACAAACTACGCTGAAAATTGTACATATTGTGTAAACTTATCGTGCTTAACAAAGCTAATGTTATTATTGTTATTATTATTATTATAACTAGTGAAATTCTGTACGCATGTCAGGAGTTTGGTTATAAAAAATTAAACATTTGACCTAGTTGTACAGACTATTGTAGGGAAAACTTGAAGTCAGCATAATGATATTTTCTGGAATTTCGGAGTACAAGATGTTCTACAAACAATTCCACCTTTAAAATTCTTTATTCATCAAAGCAATGTATTGAAAAACATTACTATCACTCGTTCACTCGGAATTACACGTTTTTTATGTAAATATTATAGGTTAACTAAATTTTTCAGTGACTTTTATAAGATCTACTGCTGATTGATGTCATAGATCGCAAGCCGTCATTATCCACCAAGGCAGATATGTTTATTACGTTATATCAAGGTGATTATTGTTGATGTACTAGCCCGTGCATGTGGTCTACGTCCAATCAACGGTCGGCAGACTCCTCAATCTCGCCTAGGCGGTAGTAAGCTCAAAAAAGGGAAGTTTATGTGTGTGGCTATAATGAAGTGTTTAGACCACACCAGTTTAGCTATCAAACACTGCAGGCTGACTTCAACGAATTACACATAATTATGTCACTTTGTGGTTTGTAACCGTGACTATCATAACAAAGTCATCCACACCACCCATCGGATCACATACACTTTGGTTATGAAAATAATCCAGAGTAATATTTCAAGAGTGCATTTCTCATAATAATCTCCTTATGAGTCCATTTTTTATATGTATGCATTCAAAAGAATTTGGTTTGTTCCAAGTTTGACCACCGATTGATATCAGTTAGAGAGTACTGGACAGCTGTTTTGTTCTAGCTTGGGACTCCCTGGTAGCATACACCCATTGGTGTTCGAACCAAGTACCTTCTGGTTACACAACAAGTCCGTAGACCATTTAGCCATTAGGACCTGACTGAGTGGCCCATGAATTCTAACCTCTACCAATTCGTGATATTACCGCGAGCACCAGTCACTGTCATCGGAGTCGAAACAGCTGTCCTGTACTCCCTGGTTTTCAATGGTACTCTAATAGATATCAATCCATGGTCAAAGTTGAGCCAAATCAAATCCCTTCGTTTTTATGAATTTTTCACTGCTTAAAATAGCAACTTACATTTTGGCTAAAACATAGTGGTTTCCAGTACATTATATACAGAACTTTTAAGATACATTACACTAAGTAAAAGTATGCGAAATTAGTATTAAATAAACTTACTGTAACAGTCACAAGTGCTGTGGCTGTGTGTCGTTTATCCGGTGGTATAGCCTGATCTGTTGCCACTACAGTAAAGTAATAAACATTTTGTTGTTCACAATCTAATTCAACACGTGTTCTTAACTGACCATTTATCGGGTCTATATAAAAGCTTTCAACATCTTTTCGTGTATCATGTACAGGACCTTTATTTTTCAAATACTGTTCTGTATCGTCAGTGGAATTGTCTATCGATTTCGCAGCATCTATTTTTGCGTTCTGCTGAGCTTGGCCTTTACCGAATAACAATGAATCTTCTTTATGCTTATCAGTATAATTCTGAACAGATGTAACTTGATTAGAAATGTATAACGGCTCTAAAGAATAAGTAATTTGTCCATTTAAACCAGTGTCTAAATCTGTAGCGTGTATTGCATTTCGAACTGTGTTTATCAGGGGCTCAGAGTTTAAATTCATTAGCATAACATACGTATTTGCAGCATTTTCTTTAACATGTCCTCTATAATGTTCCTGTGTGAATTTCGGTGCATTGTCATTACGATCTTTTACAATAATTTGTAACTGATTACGTCCAACCAAACTAGATTCTGATGTACCGTCCTGACATCGAATTACCAGTGTATGTTGAGGTATACTTTCTCTATCTAAAGAGATTATTGTGATTAATTCAAATATTTTACGTTTTTGTACAAGTCTGTTTGTTGTCACTTCTCTTAGCTCAAATTGTTTGTTTTTATTTCCTTCTAGTGAACATTGAATATTGTTTAAATCATCGTCTAAATCTGTAACATGAACATGGCATAATATTTGACTTTCTGTAGATTGATTATTAAATTCGTTTTCATAAACACTAATTTGAGCATAATTTGAATCTAACGGTTGTCCATGGTGATAAAATTTAATTATCGGTGGATTATCATTCATATTTAAAACTGTAAGTTTAATTAAAGTTGAAGCAGACAACGCTGGTTGACCTTGATCAACGCATACAACTTCGAAGATTAACTGTGATTGTACTTCATAGTCTAATGGTTGACTTATTCTTAAACTGACACCTTCAACAGATGGTAATAGTTGTATATGATTCCGTAGATACTCTGGATTAACTTGATTTATTCCACTTACTGGACGTAGAAAATAACTTAGTCTTGCATTAGAATCAATATCAGAATCATTTACACGAATATTGAGTAACGGTACACCAGCCTTGTTTTCATTCACTTCAATATGAAATTCAGATTTTTGAAATACTGGTGGATTATCGTTTTCATCTAAAATCTGTAATAATAAAAAGAAAAAAGACAACGGTATAAGAAAATATTGAGTAAATGTAATTAACTGGATATCGTGGGGATTTGTATTGATTTATTCCCACATCTTTTATGTTATAGTCTGAAATCAAGACTATTTCATCGTTATATTGACTATTGTAGTGTTATATTGTTCAATCCTCAGTTAAAAACTGAGTGTTACTAATTAAGGTTGTAACATAGTGTGTCGGTGGTTCAGTGGTAGAATACTGTTCAACTACACAGGTGGTGAGGGACTGATCCTTGGCGGATATAATTCTAAGCGCTGCATGGGCAATAATGAGCCCGATAAAGAGTGAAGGTTGAGTGCGAATTCAGCAACCCAACCCTCTTATAGAAACACTAACACTACTGAGAATTCAAAGGCAGGCTTGAAACTCTATAGATGAAAAAAATTAGAACATGAGGGTTACTTTGAATGGATACATTTGGGTGTTCAACTGAAATATCTCAGACTGCTGTCATAGACAGTGTGATTAAGATGTATCACACAGTGAAACAGTATTATTTACTGGATGAAGTTACGAACAAAATTTAATGTTCATAATCATATCAATCAATTATAATCAGAGGACTTCGAAACTTGAGTTTTATAGTTTTCTTTGTCCTCTCCTATTTGTCGTAGGAGTAGTAGAATTTTCCAGGTATCTGGGACAGGTGTTGAATCATTCCTATTACATGTATTTGCAGTTGATTCGATAAACTAAGCTTCTGTTATCAATCTCTCCCTCCACCCTGTGACATTAGACTTTGAAACTGTCATCTTATCCCATCTTATTGTATGGTTGTGTGTAACTGCATATAGTGCTATAGCTGAACTATTCTCTAGATTTCTTATCGTATTCGGGTCAACTAATCTAGATTTTGCTAGGTTTTTATGCTCGACTAGTCTGACTGCCCCCGCCCTACCACTCTGACCTATGTATTTGACCTGACGATCATTGCAGCCAGGGTACTAGATAAACTAAATTGTTTTTTAAATTGGCTCCGCTGATAGGATCCTTTAACCGACAAAACTTGTTTCTAATTGAGTTTATAGGTGGTTTGAATGCCAGGCACTTTTGTTCCTGCCTTGTTAAGAATTCTGCGTAAGGTTTCCAAGGTCCCTTCCTTGTATGCAATTACTACTAATGACTTAGATTCCTTATTGTTGGTGTTGTTTTGCGCATATTTGACATGCATGTCGTCATTAACACATCACTTGATACAGTCATTCAAGTGCATTTTTAGTATTATAGAAGTATGTCAACTGTCTTCAGCTAAAAGTGATTCGCATAATACTTTATTTTTGGTTGTAATTTTGTGATGAAAAATGATTACTATTTAATGAAATTAATGATAAAATAATGACAGTCAGACTGATTAATAGTTAATTTGATTTAATTATAATACGATACTAAATTATATGAGTCTGTAATTCAGATATGTGACAGAAATGGTATCAAACTGAATGATTCTTAAACACTTTATACTCTTCAGTGCAAACATTGCATAATTAGGTGAAAAAAATGAAGGATATCAACTGTCTTATCATCACCAATGATTTTCCTGATTGCAGTAGACTGGATAATGCGACAAACAGAGGGCAATGAGGAAACAGGCATAAAATGGACTCACACAAAAAACTTGGAAGATCTGGACTTCGCCGATGATATATGTCTGATTTCCCACAAACTGGAAGATATGCAATTAAAAAGCAACAAGTTGGCAGAAGAAGCATCAAAGATAGGCCTTGAGGTGAACATAGATAAAACATAGGTGATGAAGATTCCTGGCCAACAGCAACAACAGCAACAGACAACGATCAGAGTAAATGGGAGGGACCTGAAAGAAACAACCTCTTTTACCTACCTGGGAAGCATCGTTTCAACTACAGGCGGACAGATCTGACGAGGGTATCAAAGCAAGAATCGGAAAAGCAAGACAAGCTTTCACTACTCTCAAGTCTGTGTGGAGGTCAACAACACTCAGCATCAAAAATAACATCCGGTCAGTCATTGCTACTATACGGATCAGAGACTTGCACTATGCGTCATAAAGAGCATCTCAAACAAACTACAGACCTTCATTAACAGTTGTCTTCGCTCAATACTCAAGATCAGATGGCCGGCCAGAAAAGATCATTAACAGGGATCTCTGGCAATGAGCGAACCAACACAGCAGGAACCGATTGTGAAACAAATTGGCAGGGAGAAACGGAGATGGATTGGCCATACTCTGAGGAAACCATCAAGTGACATCACTAGACAAGCCATTGCTCGAGTGGAACCCGACAGAATGGGAAGCGGCGAGTTGGTCGTCAGTGCAAGGGTGACTTGGAGGAAATCATGTGAAGAGGAGATGAAAACGTGTGGGCAGACATGGAGCCAGGTGAAGACTCTAGCAGAGAACCGAACTCAATGGAGACGCACGGCTGAAGCCCTATGTTCCTCTTGGAATTAAAGGATACAATAATAATAATAATCTGTCTAAGTGGATGTGTCTGTCAATCAGGGGTAGAATGCTCACCAACCATCCCTCTCGTGGTCCAGGTTTGATTTTTGGTGGATGCATTCTTTAACCTCGTCTAAGTAGTTATAATCTAAGAAGGTTGGACGTCAACCTAGCATCTTCACCTCGTGAAAACACGACATATCACAGAAACCTCAAAGTTTAAAGTTTGAAGCTATTTGTTTCCCTTGGGAAGCAAAAGAATGGAAGAAAATGTTCATTCAAGTCATACAGGAAAGTGATGCTATTATACAGTCGCGAAACTAAGAAAAGACGGATTTTGAGTTTCAAATAATTTTTATTATCTAATGTCTGTTTGCGATAAATTCATCATTATTGTAGTTTAAAGTAAGTCTGTGATACTTTCAAATTCAATAGATATGGTTGTGTATAAACAAACACGGAAAAAGTGGCTTTTTCTTGAAAATTTAAACTGTATCATGCTATTGAGATGAGGTGAAGTGAAGCACTGATAAGAGTTTTCGCATACTATCCACATACTTCAGCCAAGAAGAGTTGAAATATCTGCTCCTCCAAGCCTGTCCTATGTTTTATCGTTAGGAGAAAAGGATACGTATTTTAATCATTTATTTTCTTCCAACACAAGAAAAGTTATTTTGCATTAGGTCATTAACTTATGTTCATTCATTTGGTTACGCAATATGTCTTCAAATTCCCGAAAGATTTGAGTGAAAAAAAAAACAACAAGACAAAAATTCACATTCAGTGAATGGTGAAGAATTTTGAAAAGTGGTCTTTTGTTTATTCCACCATTTTTACTTGTCATTATTTGTCTGCTAGACTTTCTATGTGAAATTAAACAGGAATTTTTTAAACGGTAGAAGAGACTATTGTCAGTCTGTAGATAATACCAGTTTCTGTACATTTGTTGAAACTTACATGTCTGTGTTTTAATGAGTAGCCAGCCTTAGTTTTGTGTGTTGGAAGAAACAAAGAAGACAGGACTTTAAGTGAATATAGAGAAGAGAGAGTTGATGAAGATGCCTAACCAAAAACAAGTATCGATCGCTATCAGTTGGATAAATCCAGAGGAAGTCACCTTAATCGCTTATCTAGAGTAAATCGTTTCAGCTACAGGCGGAACGGATAAGGTTGTCAAATCCGGGATCAGAAAGGTAAGAAGGGCCTTCATTACTCTGAAATCAGTGTAGAAATCTGCTGCACTATGCATAAAGAACAAGATTTGGATTTTCAGTAGTAATGTCAAATCAATGAATTTTTCCACATAGTTGAGAGACTTTGAGTGTCATCCGAAGCATTCCCAAAAGCCTACTCCAGACCTTTATCAACAGCTGCCTTCTATTGATAGTGGAGGTCGGATGGTCGGAAAGGATTAGCAGCAAGGAAATCTAGCAGGCAACGAACCAACCAGGAACCTTTTACTCAAAAAATATGTAGAAGAAAATGAAGATGTATGGGATAGACACTAAGGAAACCGTTAAGTGGTATCACATGCTAGTCAGGCCCTCGAGTGGAACCCTAGGAGGAAATGACGATGCGGAAGGGGTTCAAGAATGAGACAGATGGGATAACGTGAGGAGGAGGGTTTATGGGCAATCGTGAACCCAAGTAAAGTCAACTTCATGGGACAAGATGAAGTGGAGATGTTCTGCTGAAGCCCCATTTTCACCTGTGGCCTAAGGGAGTAATAGTGATATATAATACAATATTTTGTGTGTCCCGATAAACTTCATTTTACAAACCCAGTGATGATAGCAATCTTAGATAAATGGTTTAGTCAGTTGAAGTCCCTTCAACTCCACTAATAAAGCAATAAAAGTCATCATTTTTAATGACTACGTCAAAAATAGACTAAAAAAGATGAAAATGGAAGAACTATTACGCACATATGTATCAAAATAATCATGTAGAGAACAAATTGCATAGCTGATTTCTTAAAGACCTAAATATACATCTGACTTATCAGCATGATGGGACAAAAATTTCGAAACTACATTTAATACTGACTTCTGGTGAAATATGACACCAATCAGCTATATATGCTTCTGTGTTTTTCTTGTTCTTGTTCTCTAAAAAATATGCTAAAACCGTCTTAAATGTATAAGATTTATTTCAACTGTTAGGAACGACAGAAGACAGGTAGAGCAGAACAGGAAGGTCGCAGGTAAAACGGACCTGAGCACATTATATCAGATTACCAGGTCTCTATCCAGGCGAAACCTACAAAAGATGTTCAAGGGAGCCTGGTTACCATGAAGAAGAAACAAATAAAACAATGGGCTAATCATTTCAAAGGACACTTAAATTGACCATCACCTGCAACTCACCCAGAAATGCCACTACAACCAACAGCACGGACATAACTGCCTGTCAGTGGACACCGATCCTCCAACGAAAGCAGAAATTCTGAATGCGATCAAGCTACTGAGTCTAAATAGAATTCCCCCCAAAGCACTTAAGACGGACCCAGGGACCACTTAGATGTGCTCACGCCATTATTGCGAAAGATTAGGAAGGAAAAAAAAGGTGCCTACCGATTGGAGGAAAGGCTACCTAATCAAACTACTAAGGAAGGACGACTTAGGCCTCTGTCTGCAAGAACTGGTTCGGAATAATGCTCCCGTTCATTCCAAGTAAAATGCTAATTCACATTATACTGGAGAGAACGAAGGATGCATTGGGTGAGGAACTCCGTCCACTGGAACAAGCTGGATTCAGGAAAGGCAAATAATGTGCTGATCAAATTGCAGCTCTCCTCATCGTCATCACAGAACAAAGTATAGAATGGTAGTCAAACGTGTTCCTCAACTTCATCGATTTCAAAAAGGCCTTTGCCAGAGAGCGTTGACAGTGAAGTAATTTGGAAACTATTTCAACACTACACAGTGCAGTGCCCAAGTCATCATAAACCTCACTCAATAGCTGGCTATATGACAGTGCCACATGCCAAGTGATCCACAATGGAAAACTCAGCAAGGCGTTTGAAGTGTAAACAGGAGTAAGACGAGGCGATCTACTATCACAGATAATATTCCTAACTGTCCATCAGACTGTGCATTGAAAGCGAGGAGACAGGAATACTCTGGACCACCGATAAGAAGACTCTAGAAGATCTGGATTTCATAGATGATATATGTCTAATGTCACACAAACTCGAAGACTTACAGGCGAAAACCAACAAGCTGGCAGAAGTGGAAGGCGGTGAAGACAGAATTGCAAGTGGAAATAGCAAAAGACGGAGGTGATGGAGATAACCAACCAACCAACAGCAGTGACAACAACAACCAGCACCAATCACCATCAGCGGGAGAGATTTGACAGAGGTTACTTCCTTCACTTATCTAGGAAGCATCATCTCAACCACAGGCAGTAGGAACGGATGAAGATGTCAAAGCCAGCCAGACAGAATTTGATAGGCGAAATACGCCTTCATCAACCTGAAACCAATTTGCAAATCTTCTGCAATCAACACAAGGAACAAGATTCGGATGTTCAACACCAATGTCAAGTCAGTCCTTCTATAGTGGTCAGAAACTTTCACTGAGTGTCAGTCATGAAAAGGATTTCCAACAAGTTACGGACTTTAATCAACAGCTGCCCACTCTGGCTCCATGCTGAAGAACAAATGCAGGTTGGCCAGAAACAATCAGCAGCAAGAAGCAATGGGAATAAACTAACCAAGAACCTATGGTTCAGGATATATGTAGGAGGAAACTGAGATGGATTCGATGGAAACCGTTGAATGACATCGAGCCCCAGGCCATAGCTGGAGGGGGAACTCCAATGAGAAGCGACGAGTAAGTCGCAACAGGGTGACGTAGAGGAGATTGTGTGGCGAGGAGGAGATGAGAGATTATGGGCAATCCTGTACCCAGATGAAGAGGAAGGCTGAGAAAAGAAGGAACTGAAGATGTGTTGTTGAAGCCATATGTCCCGCTCGGAACCCAAAGGATTGATGATAATAATAATTCATTTTTACTGTCCCACAGTAGTCACTTCATTCATATTATACAGAGCCTTATTTGTCGTTATTAATGCAGGACCTAAGCAAAGCTCAAATAACACGATATTAACAGTAGTCTGAATCTATCAAACCAAACATCTTTTAAGTACGCACTGTACTCTTAAGCCAGAAACCGATATTTGCATCTTCACATTGCCCCCTACAGCTGTCTAACAAAAGCTTACTGGCAAGAACAAACAATAGACACCAAAGTCAAATGACCGTGTACCAACTAGTCAGATCATTCAGTATTGCAAACTGGTGCTGTTCATAATCTTCGTTACAAGTTCCACCCAGATTTGGTTTTTGACTTCTGTGTGGAAAACGAGTTAACAGGGAGGAGTAAAACATGCATATGTGGAGGGGAAATGACTCTGCAAAAGTATTGCCAGGTTGTTGGGGGTAAGAGTTGGTGAGGCGTACATTATGGAGATTTTTTAGATACTTTCTTCTCGAAATCGAAACTCTCCCTTAGTAAAATATTGAACATATGAAACAACCAGTATCTGCTACAGATGTGGAAACAGAGAATAATAAAATATCAACAACAGTACAGTGGTATCAGCAGAACTGTTAGGATATTGCGTCACAAAAGATCAATGGAATTAGTTGCCTATGTACTTGGTAGAATTGGTGTCGTCGTTCATAGTGACACAATAATACTGAATAAACGAAAAATGAATCGTGGTAGGAGAAGAGCAAACCATGCTTGGGTACTGGAACTGTACGATAAAAATCTTCAAAAAGGGTTTGTGGAACGTAACCCAAAGAGAAGTGTCGATGTTTTAATACCAATAATTCAACAACTAGGCCTTCCATGCATTAAAACCTACACAGATGAATGGAGAGGTTACTCACAGTTATCATCACTAGGCCGTATTCATTATTAAGTCAATCATTCTTCAGAACCAGTGGATCCTTTAGGTGGAACCCATACAAATTCTATTGAATAATTCTGAAAACAGCGTATCAGGGTGGTGAATAGTTCCCTAAATGATAAAGCATGTATCCACTTAGATGAATTTTTGTATTGACATTGGTTTGTTATGTCTTTAATTAATCCTATGAGAAACCGGGACCAATTTTTGCAGCATTTCAGAGACATACACTGTATAATTCATTTTTACTGCACATAAAATCTTATAAATACACTTTTTTATAAATTAAGTGCTTCTTTTTGCACAAGAGAATCTGATTGGTTGTTTCAAGGTCTTTTGACTTTGGTGTCTATCCTTTATTATTATTATTGTTATTATTATTATTTCCTTTAATTCATAGAGGAATATAGGGCTTCAGCCGTGCGTCTCCATTGTGTTCGGTTCCCTGCTACAGTTTTCACCTGGCTCCATGTCTGCCCACACGCTTTCATCTCCTCTTCACATGACCTCCTCCAAGTCACCCACCCTTGCACTGACGACCAACTCGCCGCTTCCCTTTCAGTCGGGTTCCACTCGAGCAATGGCTTGTCTAGTGATGTCACTTGATGGTTTCCTCAGAGTATGGCCAATCCATCTCCATTTCCTCCTTCCTGCCTATTTGTTTCACAATCGGTTCCTGGTTGGTTCGCTCCTAGAGGTCCTTCACTATTGCTGATCTTTTCTGGCTGGCCATCTGATCTTGAGTATTGAGCGAAGAAAACTGCTAATGAAGGTCTGTAGTTTGTTTGAGATGCTCTTTATGACGCGCAGTGCAAGTCTCTGATCCGTATAGTAGCACTGACCTACTTCACATTGGAGTTGAAAATCCGGATGTTATTTTTGATGCTGAGTGCTGTTGACCTCCACACAGACTTGAGAGTAGTGAAAGCTCGTCTTGCTTTTCCAATTCTTGCTTTGTTATCCTCGTCAGTTCCGCCTGTAGTTGAAACGATGCTTCCCAGGTAGGTAAAGGAGGTTGTTTCTTTCAGGTTCCTTCCATTTATGCTGGTTGTTGTCTGTTTTTGTTGTTGCTGTTGGTGGTGTTGCCCAGGAATCTTCATCACCTCTGTTTTCTCCATGTTCTCCTGAAGGCCTACCTTTGATGCTTCTTCTGCCAACTCGTTGCTTTTCGCTTCAGCACGATGAATCTCCTGTTATTTATTGTAGCCAGCTTATTTTCTTTCACTGATTTGTGTTACGATGTCAGTGGTCCAGCGGTAGAATCCTCGCCAACCATGCATGTGGTCTAGATTTGATCCCCATCTGCCGCCGCCGGTACTAAGATAAGAAATAAGAGAAAGTTGGACGTGAGCCTAACGATCCCATCTCGTAAAAAACACCACTATTGAAAGTTCAGAGCTCAAGCTTGAATCTGAATGTTCCATTAGGGAAGCAGAAGAAATATACACCTATATAAGTTCTGTTCCCCAAACTAATGGGTTAATTTACCTGTATTATAACGATTTTCATACGCCTTTTTAAATATATATTCAATTTATGTATGCACAGATGAATTCAGATATGCTTATTCGCCTAAATTTTGGTGTGTACTGGATATATGTCAGTATCATATCCATATACATTTTCTATGTTTAATGCCACACTAACTTACATACATTACAACACTTATGAGAACAGCAAACAACTCTAATAATGTGTCAAAATTAAATTTCTATCAATAAAATTTATTTACATCTATCTGTCAGAGTTGAGCAGATATTAATAATAATAATATTACTATTCTGCATGACTGCACAGATGATCAAACTTTATTTGTTTTGTTATATTATTTCGTTTTAAAGAAGAAGTATGCATTCTATCTACTGCATAATACATTTCATCACTTGTTGTTCGTTCCTAGACAATATTTAGACTAAATATAAGCAGGAAAAATAAAATAAAAAGAGGCTTGGTCTATTTTTCCCCGTGTGATTCGTCTTTTCACAGTATTGTTGTACGTATTTATATTACACTGACAGGTGAAATTCATCTAGTGCCAGTAGGTTTGGGGGTGGGTGGGATGGGACATAGAATAATGAGTAGTAGTGAGAATTAGAATGAAAAAAATGAGAGAGAAGGAGAGAGAGGAAGTGTTCTCTTCAGAGCGCTCTGGAAAGATGCAAAAGATACAGAGATTGCTGTGTGTAGAACATAACAAAAGATAGTGAGGAGAGTTTTAGGGATAAAAAGTTCTACATAAGTGATAAGTAAGTGAATGATCTACTAAAGTAACATTCAGGTGACAAAATTCACACACACACACACATACAAACAGTGAAGAACAGATACGCACACAGACAGTTGGAATTAATTAGTTTACTGAAGAGAATTATTGAAATTTACTTCACACACTATAGCTGTTCTTGTTGTTGTTGTTGTTGCAGTTGTTGAAATAGTGTCAGAAGTACAACAATTATTGTATGTGTCAGTTTTAATTAGAAATCTCTTCATTCATTACAGATTTGGACACAACAAATATCAGTGTACTGGGAATGTTGCAGCAGCCTAGATGGATGATTTTAATATTCTATTCTCTTAGATGGATGGTTTTACTGTACAGTTTTATTGCCACTTTAATTGATAAAACTCTTAAAAACAGGTGGATATTTAGTATGGACTCCACGTGTCCTCATTTCGGTTATGTTTATGTTGTTGACAGGTGCTATTATTATTGCAGATTTTCAAATGTTGGTTTGCAGGGATCTCAATGATTTCAAGTTTTCAAGTGTTGTTTTGTAGGGATTTGATTGGTTACAGGGTTTCATCATGAGCTGACATTAGTTAGAGAACCATTGGAAAACCTGGGAGTACTGGACAGCTGTTTCGTCCTAGTTTGGGACTCTTCACAGTACGCACCCACCGGGATTCGAACCCAGGACCTTCTGGTTACAAGGCGAGCTCGATTTCAAGTTTCATTACAAACAGATTTCATTTAGGAAACTGTTGAAAACTTGTGAGTACTTTATAGCTGCTTTAACTTAGTTTGAGACTCTTCAGGAGTACGCATCCTCTCATGAGTGAGCACTACAAGTTGAAGTCACCTGAATCACTGATGCGAAGTCATAACCAATAGGATGTGTCAAGTTGGGTTTAAAAACAGATATACACCGATGACATTGGTTTGCGATATATATATATATATATATCACGAAACGACTACCCATTATTCTCTGAAGTCAGTTCTTGACTAAACGTGGTATCTCCATGTGTTGACGTTTGAAGTGATATGGAGCTGTTGATGGTAAACTGTAATGTTTGTTAAAGTGAGTTTAACAATTAAGAAACAACCCGAATAGAATATACTCAAAACTCCCCCGATATTGCTACAGTACTTTCCCTCTGATATCCGTTTAGTCATTACACCAATGTGTTTTTGTTACTGCCTACATGCATTCCCACGAAAAATTAGTATCGTAAAAATTTATTCACTGATACAAATTTTTGAATAAGCAACAAATGATAATAAAGGAGTTAATCGGTAGATGGTGACTGGCAGTGGAATCCAGAATAATGCGCATTTCGTCCTATTTGGGGCTCATCTTCTGGATGTACCTGCATTCCGCAGTGAGTGATGATGTACCAACCGAGAGACCAGGCACTTCGGTCCAGTCAATCTACGGGAAAATCTAAAACTCAATTAAATGATTAATATGACCCGTTGCACAAGAGCCGGGGTGGCTCTCGTGGCCCAATTCGTCTAGTGGATAACGCTCTGGCGTTTGGAACTATGGGCACTGGGTTCGACCCTCGGTGGGAACATCATCACCCACTGGGGAATGCAGGTACATCCAGTTGACGAGTCCTAAATGGGACGAAATGCGCGTTATCCTGGATCCCACCATACACCAATTAAATTCTAATTACATGCATAGACATCGTCGAAACATCTGCACAAGAAGCCGACATGTCCAATCAATCGGCAGGAAAATCTAAAAATTGAATTAAATCGATAATAGAGGAGGATTTAATGAATTCATAAAACTCCGGAGAACTCCTTACCTGAATACTCTATACGATAAGGTATACATTAGGAGATATAAAAGGGATTAATTAGTAGACTAAAATGAATCAATCATGCAAAATGACATCTGTGAATTCTTTATAGGCTGATTTCAGACAGGTAAGAGAGAAGGGTTATGAGAGATTGAAAATTAAGAATATAATGGAATACATACAGTTCAGTTACATTACTTAAATAAATAATTAGTAACCAGAGAAAGAACCTGAAAATGTCAGGGATTGCAGAATAATAATGCAGAATAAAAATACTAATACTAGTGATAATAATGCGTTCAGATAATCCTACTGACAAACGACAGTTTTAAATGAGTCGAGAGTAATAAAAATAATGGTAGACTTAAAGTGAACCCCCATTTCCTTCTGTACACAGAGATCTACTTGATACACTCTAATTCCACAATCCTCTACAGATGTAAGCATCTTTCCATTTACCTGTTTGATGATAAAAGTGAATGACTTGACAGTGTCAATATGATGTCTGAAGCCTGTAAGATGCTTTGTTATCGGACCTTTTGATAACCTGACTTCAGCTCTTTTTTTCAACCACTTGGACAAATGCTCCATCATGCGAGTAAACAGTCGCCTAACCATAGGGTTATCTAACAGTGTCAAGAATGACTAATAACCTCAGCAAGTAAACGATTCAAGCCAAAATAAACGTCGGAACAGGCATTTTAGAATAGAACAACTTATTTTTAATGAAATACCATTTTAATGATACACTTCACATGAAACTGTTGTGAAGTAAGTTAATGTGAAAATGCATTGGTGAATATTTTTAAGGGTTTCCGGAACAATGAATTGAGAGTATGACCAAAGAGAGAAAAACAATCATTGTAATATGACTCCCAAAGTTCAATTAAGAGTTTTGTTTTGAATTTATAATTTCTAAACTTACTATTTCTCTCTCCTGTTTTACTTGTCTGCTTCAACATACTTAATGAGAGTTTATTACAGTGTTCGAAAAAGACATTAGCAGATTTATTTATAATATGTCTTGAATGCAATTACTGCTAATTAGATTATTATCATGAAAATTTCTCCCAAAAGACTGCGACTTGTCTTGGCGCATACCTACTAGATTTCCCAATTTGTGTCACATTTCGGACAAACTTAGCCTCCATGCTGGAAACTCAATAAATGTTACAACCTTATCGGAATGGCTGTTTGGGAAATTCCTCCTGTACAGTCTAATCACAATATTGGTACTTGTTCAGATGTTTCCACTAACTTTGTCATTATTTTCCTCTTTTCTCCTAGACTGTATACCATTGTTGTGACATGTGCATATTGTCTGTTGACTTAATCCTTATTATTTGTCCGTTTGACATATAATTTTAACGCTTCTTTTCACGCTTCCGAGATATATTGATAAAGGGTTGTTTTACGAGGTGATTTTGTCTGAGTGAATCAAGGTCTTTGAATAAAGCCAAAACAACAGCGGTTTGTGTAGAATAATATAATATAATAATATGTCTAAAGGGAACAAATGCTTTAAACAGTGCCATCGCCAGGCATCTCCTCGACACGGGTCATGAGGTAGAAATCGAGAAACCCTTTAAAATTATTAATAGACAAAGGAGCTCCATTCTCCTCAAGTTTGCAGAAGCAATTTCTATCAAACGCTTCAAACCAGATAAATGTGTTCAGAAAGAAGCAGTTATTAGTCTTCCCTTGTCCTGGTAACTGGATGTCTTTATTCCCTACTCTGATTACGTAATCTTTGTATTTAACCTCATTCCTCTTTTTTATAATCTGTAATTTTGCTTGTCTCTTGTTTCTATGACGTGAGTTGAACTCAGTACATCGTTACCTAATTTATTAGTTACTCATCATCTTACTTACCTCTCGTCTTTATTACGTAACTCCTTTACCATTGTATGCTTACATTTATTTTGACTTGAACTGCCTGTGTAAAAACTATATAAGTGCAATTTTCTGAGCACTGTTCACTAATTGTGGAACTTTCTGTCAAATGACAACATGTAAAATTTACAATTATGTTAAAACTTTTCTGTACATAAACCTCATAATTAATTAAGGCTGTAAGCAGCTGATGAGAAGCCAACGAAATAAGCACTGGTGGTACCATATTATTCTGCACAAACCACTGTTGTTCTTGCTTTATTCAAATTCATCAAGGGGGATAAATGCATGATGAATCAAGGTCCTTCTGACCTTGGTGACGTTGGTGTATGATTCTTGTGGACAGAGATTGGATCCCACTTTATTTGAAATATTCCACCTGATTCTAAGATGTTTCTTACAGTTGAACTTCGGTCAACTAATTTTGTTCTACAGTACTTCTTTTGTACTCAGAAATTTACATAGTCTGTGTAGCTGCGTAATGACACTGTTGAGGTAGTTTTGAATTTTTGATGTTATTATTATTATTGAACAGAACCACACATAGGTCGAACCACGAATAATCGTCTTTTTGCTGTTTTCGGAGTGTTCTGTAACTGTGCGTCCCTGAAAGAAGTTTTGTCGGCTATGCAGTAGGACGTAGGGGTCAGTTCACTGCTTTCAAATCACAACAAGTTGCCTTTGGTCGTTACAACAACACATGAAGTTAATTATTGAAGTACTGTTTGAACA